CCTCATGGCTCCATCGCCTAGCATTTTGACGTTTGCTTCCTTTCACTGTTCCTCCGTTCAGCACCTGATTATCTGGATCTTTTCAGTTAGCAATACTTTCGCTCTCCAACCTCGGACTGTTCATGTGAGTAATCAGGCAGGGCAAAGCTCTTTGAGTGGATATAGCTGAGTTGGTGATAGCATATTGGGGTCGAGATGCCGTGCATGTTCACATCCATAGGTCTCAAATGACTAGACCTCGCGAAGTGAGAGAGACTCACCCAGAGCATTAGATTGACTCTGTAGTCTATATGGTACTTTTGGGCAGGCAGTTTCTCACATGTAATATTCTCATTAGAGCATATACACACCTGGTTCGAAAACAGTTAAGTAATGCTAAAAAGTAACGCTGAAGTCTCTTATGAATTTGATACAACAGATAGATTGATACTAGTGAGAATTTGTTATACTTTATTGAATTCCTTAGTTACTTAGTATATGACCTTGTCATTGAGTATAATGTTTAACAACGACTACTTTATGTTCTCAATTAGTACATTTTGCATGCTTAATATATGTTCGTGCCTCTCTCGACAAGACAATACACTATAAGTATTCCTTCAAGGTATTTATGATTCAATTTGACTAATTTTGACAGGCTCCACTGCCACCTCCACGCCATCGCAAAGTCGTAGCTGCAAACTATTATTACGACCTTACACAATGAGACCGCGCTGCCTGACATGATCTAGTTAGTATGAAGTATGAGCAGACCACATAGTTGTCGAACTGAAACTAGCTATTGTCGCATATCGAGAAACTGACCTTATCAGATTTAATGGCTACTCAGCATAGCTCGAACATCACATGCCATGAAACCATAGCAAGTATGTTATTATAAAAGAAAGTAAATATAGTACCGCTATGAAATTTGTGGAGGTCGCGACTAGTAAAGAGCTTAATACTGTAGTAATGACCTCTGAATCTTTGTATACCAGAGATTTTATTACACTATTTTATTTGCAATAATTTAAGAAAGCACATGATAATCATAGTCACTTAGAAGCTCAGGCACATCGTTCCACAGAAGACGCAATAAATTTAGTGGCACACAATCTTGTGAATACATGATGTTTCAAAACCATGAGAAAAAAGAAATATGAATATTCTAATATATGCTATTTTGAAGCGCTCATAACAATTTGACATTGAGACGGATGATGATTTTTGGAGATATATTGAATTCCAATTGTGTGTGAAAATATCCTTCAGATTGAGAAATAGTAAGGCAGAAGAAGAGTCCTGCGTTTCATGTAATTCTCTGTGCAGCTGGGTGCCTCTATTGCTTTTCTATTCTAGAGTCAGTTTCACACTGAAATAGATAAATGAAGCCAAGAAGAGACAGTGGTGAAAATAAGGAAAGTAACTAACTTTGGGCATTATATAAACTAATTTATAGTATACGCTTAACTGTGAGCGCTCGCGCTTTGTACACACAACTAATCGAAATTGTGCATCTGGATGATGGTGTTACATCTGTCTCAGTTGTGCTGGCACAGAGAAGTGAGGCGCAGGGGGTAATGACATGTTGATCTCTGACTAACCATTCTCTCAAGGAGCTCAGATCCTCTTATTCCACTCAGCCCTTTCACTGAGAGACCTCACTACTTGACTGACTTTTTTAATCGGAGTGCGAGTGCTTCCATAGTGTAGTGTTTCATGTCCACTTTAGAGTTCCCAGTTCTCAGACTGGTTGATGTGCTGTTGGTTGCTGTATACACAGTGAGCATTAGAGACGCGAGATTTACGAGAGCACTGAGGTGCACCTGATTCTCTTAGTCTCATCTTTCAGCCATCCGACAAGGACAAAATACCTCGTCAAGTTGTGGGAATACATGAGTCGGACTAAATGCCTATAGTTATAAATTGAATATAATCCTACTGGCCTCGAGACTATGCATCTCAATATACAATACAATTTAGGACATAAGATTTACACAGCTATATATATTAAACATTAATAACATCACTCTGGACTCTTTTAGCTGCATACGATAATAGCCTGTATCACCTGTTTTTTTGTGTGTGCATAGCAGATAAGAACATCACTTAGACTTGAGAGGGACTATCTATCATCTGGAAGAAGTTAGATGAAGACAATTCGCGGCTGTATCAAACTCAGTTAATTAGCTACTCCATTAATGAATTCACCCTTGAGTGAGAGGGATAAAGCTTATTCCACTATGGAGAGTATCACAGGTGCTAGCGCTTAATCCTCGGAAGTTGCTATGATTTATTACTATGTTCTAAAATCTTGACAGAGGTTGGAGTTAAGAACTCTTTTGCTATCATGCAGTGACTAACTTAAATACTCCATGTAGATAGATGATCTCTCTAATTATCAGACCTTTTCATTCATGTGGTTTTATAGAGTGGGATAATACTACTGGTGACTAGATCGCTAACATACAGAATTACAACAATAATAAATATATAAATATTAGTACATTAGAATAAATTAATGCAGCAAATATTATTATACATAGGATCTAGAGCACTAAAGTAGGAGCTTGTTTCCTCTCTCTCATCTGCTAGATATAAAACTATTTAATTACTCACAGTCGTAGAGTGAACATGCAAGAACAGTTTCCGTAGTAGCTCGTGTAAATATAAGACAATTTTTTCATTGCTCTGTGATGCCCGACGCGCAGCTTGATCCAGATAACCTGTCTTTCACTGGACTGGGTATTTCTTTTTATAGTCGTACTGTTGTTCGTGAATGATATACATGATTCGATCCGTGCATTTGACCAGATCAGTAATTTAAGGTGCCAAAGAGCTACATCACAGGTGTGAAATAATGAGCGCAACAGATTTAGGTATTTTCATCCTGGCACCTTGCGTTGATGCTCAACTAGCTTTATAACGATTTCTCTATGTTTATATAAAAGAGAGTAGGAATCATTTCATAGAGATTTGAATCTGTATTAATCAATAATGAACAGTGCTTCTTATAGTGAGCATGCAATGTGTGTATGCACATTGTGTGAGCTATTTTCAGTACAAACTCAGAGCCATACGCAAATCGTCCTTTGATGTATGTCCATTGATGTCTGGCCAGGAATAAGCCAATAGTTTCTAGCAATATATAAAGAGATTTACACATAACCAGAAAATATAAGATCTATTATAGAGTAAGAGTTACAACAAACGTGTACACTACAGAGGTGTATGTTGAAAATGTTGTGATTCCTGAGTATTACTACTGTATAACCACGTGCATTGACAGAGTTGCACGTAGTTATGTGTATCATAAGCGCTATCAGTCACTACTTTCCACATACATTTATTACCGTAACCCATTGTCACCTTAGAGGGATATTTGCCTCCAGACAATAGTAAACATACAACTGTTGAAAGTGTTTGTGTCTATAATATTATATTTATTTTTACATATATATTAGTATTTGAGTGATAATGTAGAGAGAATCTCACCAATGCCTTAGTCGTGAGCCAACCATCAGGCCAAAAGCTGGCTTATGAATATAATTTAGGATTATATAACATGTGATTAAAAATTAGTATCTTTGAATGAAAAAAAGCTATACATTGCATTTCGCATAGTAATGCTTATTTATAATTTGCTCTAAATACAATCAAGCCTGAGAGACAGTCTCGATATTTAATCAGATGATCCATAGAGAGGTAGTGAGAACCCAACAATATCGTGTTTTGGTGACGGCATGCCCTTTTATCCGTCTAGTGCGCCCACAGTCACTCATTCAGGCAAACTCGACACCTATGAAAGTATAATAATGCAATATTCTAGAATCGGTCTAAAGTCTAATGGAGCTATAGCAAGCATGATTTCACTGTATTGCTATGCCCGCTAGCTTTCTCTTGATACTCGCTCCATCTACATTCAATTATGAGACACGAGAGTATCTGAGTGTCTTAAGAGATGCAGGATGAATATAAAGCACTGACACACTGGCACTAGTCAGGTGCAGCACTGAAACCCAGAAGTGAGCATGTTGTCGCGCACAGTCTCATCGGGGGTGACACCGTTCTGCACCAATTAGAATCTATGTAAGCAGGGGGAGATAAAAAGAAACTGTGTGTTTAATGTCTCGGCAACCTCTTACCAGTATTGTCTCAGAAAACATATAGGTCTTGTCGTCAGGTGAATCATGATATCCACCACAAGTATTCTTTGTGGCTTCGACGGATCTTCTTGTCACAAGACTCGTAGGCACCTTGTTTCCCGTACATTAAAATCGATATTAATACTAAAAACTGTATGTGACAAGATATTAGCACCTTTCAACACGAGTATTCTTTGAGAGAGGCACACTTGCAGCTTCAGGCTAGGCGATACTTATATTTCAAATTTTAATGAGTCTTCCAAAAGTCACTTACTGTATGTCCCATTTACACTCCCTATAGTCATGGTACATTGAGTAACTTGATAAACAATCTCCAATGCCCAAAGAGAACATTGACAGAAAGGCACCGATACGCAATGTGTACAGACCATTTCAGCTTTTTAAAATACTATTCAATATATAACACATGTTGCAAACAACACAATCTCATTAAGTTCTGTCTGTAATAAAGCAACTTGCTACCTAAGTTTTGTCCATTCATAAATACGACAGAAGGAAGTAGAGAGCACTCGAGAGCAGTGTAGGTCAAAGGGACGAGCTAGGAATGTAGGTTGGAACTCTCCGATCTTCTAGAGACTCAGCCCTACACGAACATAGGGCTCGAAGTCTGCTCGCTGACGTGTGTATGCGTCGTGACACATCTATACACGCACCACTCATACCAATATTAAGCACTCTTCTCTACCAGAGTTATCTGTCCATATGTTTTGGATTGGGAAGGGACCCACATTGCACTATAGCGTCCTAGCCGATTGGACATACGGTTTCTGAGTGGTGAACCCCTATGTGAGTAGAGTATGAGAGACAACAGGAGGGTCCCAACACTCTCGTTCTCATCAGATGAGAATACATACTTTAAACACAAATACAACGAGTGCCATCTTCACGCATGAACTAAGAAGAAACATTAAAGATAATCAACTTAAACTAAACATGCATTCATGTAATTATTTAAACGATTTTAAGAGAAGTGACACATACTGGCACTTCCACCCCATTGTGCGCAGCCAGTAGCCATTCCCAGCAGGCAATGGCAGTTTCCATGCCATGTTCTGTAAACATCTTCAGAGGAGACCAACAAAGATGGTGCAAGAGCAGTGGATCGCAGTCTGAAAGCCAGACATAAAAACAAGAAAATTACTAATGAAAAGTGAACTTTATATAATAAATAATAATTAAATGAATAAATAAATAACAGGCATAATTTAAGAGAAGCAGAGCTGCTCACTTTTGGTAGTTATAAGGAGGGCAGCCATCTTGAACATGGCCTGGGTGAAGGCCTCGGGGTCTTTTTTATCTAGAGCACTGGTCATCTGATGGATCATCAACTTGTTGAGATCCGACTGGCTGTGAGTCGCCTCTGAGAACTGGATCATACCAGCCACCTAGACAGTACATAAAAAAGACAGGAGATAGCATCAGAGAGCAGAAGAGAATAAGAGTAGCTGTGCTTTTAAATATTCCCAGTATAGTTTACCTCTCCTGTGTACCGGTTTCGCAGATTGAGTGACGCCATGAAGTTGGAGTAGTCTTTTTTCACACATGCTGGTCTCTCTGTCAGCTGGGTGGTCTGAAGGGGAAAAAAACACAATGTAACTGCCAAATAACTGCATGGAAACTATGGAAGCATGAGCGACAGCTTTAATGTCACACTTGGATATACTGAGGGTGTCATGCCTGAGGCCTTTTTCTCTGTATTTAGTGATCAGACCAACCTGAGGGAAAGCAGCCTATGGTTGGGCACATGGTGGAGGACAGTACCGGCATAACCAGTAAGCCAAATGGGCAACCAGCCAGCCAGCCAACCAACCCACCAGTCCATTGCAGGTAAGTAACCAGGTAACCAGCAAATCCGTACACAGGCCAAGCAACCAGGTAGGTAGTTCGGTGCAGTTTAATAAAGACAAAATACAACAAATGAAGCAAATGAAAAGACAGATATAGCAGAATGCAGGCCCAAAGAACATATAAGAAATGCCTAGCAAGCAAAATAATGTCACACAGACTAGTAAGCATGCACACATGAACATAGACATCTACAAATTGTTTAAAAAGCAACAAAATAAAACACACAAGCTATATGTGCACAACAAAAAAAAATCAACAAGGACCTTTTTCTGAATACAAACAAAAAGCCGACGTCTTTGGCAAAGCTGCTAAATCGCACATGGCATGTTAAAAAGCACTTTATGTTGGACAGCTGTTAATGAGCATTCAATCAACAAACCTGGGAGGTCATTTAGAATTAAACATTCTCAGTTTGCAGTTTGCTCCAAGTACAGTGTGTTACTAAAATGCTCTTGCTCCTGTCATCTACTGTGCTCTAAGAATTCTGACTACACATATCTTTGGTAGAACTGTGTCTTTGCACTAATTTGCATCTAAACTATATATTAAAAAAAATACCGTATTGGTTTAGTGAACGTTATCTTTCTGCAGAATTGCTAAAATGCAGTAGATTCTATCTCACCATCAGTTTGGCTCATTTTGTCTAAATTTATCTTGACATTTAGTTGGGGGTTAAATCCAATATTTACAGTATGATAACTGCGGTGACCAGAAGGATTTGTGTGAAGCCGTGGCTGTAAGTGTATCTGTGACTCACGCCTAGTGTAGTACTCTGTCTGTTGTAGCCTGCAAAGTGAAGTATGCTCTCTGTGGCCATTGCAAGGCCAGTGTGCTGTGACAGTCCTGACACCCAGATCTGATGCTTGTTCAGATACTCCTGCAAGAAAAATCGAAATAGCAGATATGACAAGAATCATTTACAGTCACTTATGCCTTGTTTACTCAAAGTAAACACTCCTTTTCAAAATGCAGAGGTAAAAGTTAATTGCTTGCTTAAAATAAATTAATAGTGGCCATCTATTAAATAAAAACTTAAAAGAAACTAACCTGTAGGTGGGACTTTGTGACCGAAGGAGCCCATTTCATTGCTTCTTTCAGGATCTCACCACACACACAAACTACACCCTTTTTGGCTCCTACCTCAAAGCACACTGTGCGCTGTCGATCTTACGTGCTGCACAATAATATTCAATATTTAGTATTTACTGTTATATTCACATAGATCATTGCAATGATGTTGTTTATTATATTGCTCTTTTTGTTTGCTTGTTTTCTCTTTTTTCTTTCTCAACAGGTGATCCAGGTGATTGATATATGTATTTTTTGTCTGTTTGTTTTGTTGGTTTTTGTTTTTTGCCCTTTATCACCGTTCCTCTTCCCCGCTGTTTTTCTTTCCCTCTTTCTTTCTCCCTTTTCTTTCCCCCAGTCATGTCTGTCCCATGTGTAGCAAGTGAAAATAAAATAAAATAAACAAAAATAAACAAAGGTGAATCAAATAGACCGATACGGCAAGGCCGGGATGGTCCATTTGGTAAAGTAAATCCGCTGGGCATCTTTCTTTGCCTTTAGACAATAATTCTGATGGCAAAAAGAGTGGCGGGCATTCACTGAGTAAAATTAATTCTAGCACAAACCAAATGCCATTTGTTTATTTAATTTCTACATTTTTTAAGAGCCCAAACCTCAGTCCACCATTAAAATACAGTTTACACTTGATATGATAAAAAAGAACTCTCTCCCTACTATTGTTGAAGCCCATACTGTGCTGTCCTCTAGTGGTCAGAAGTGTAATAACAGCCCAAACTCACCTCTCTGGCTTCATATGTGTCAGGAACAGTGATCCTGTATGGGGTGTCGGGAATGTCATAGTATGGCTGGTCCTTATGAATGTCCTAAAGTAAAGGAGAATACATTTTGTTCACATGAAGTCTATATTAGCATCTATTTAAACACTTCCATGAGATCTAACTTAAAACCTCTTTTATTCGACCACAGCACACCGACTTGCTGACTCTGCATTATGTTATCGGTACAGGGACCGAGAACCAGGCACTCAAACAGAGAACCTGGCACTCTGTCTATCACATCAACCCTCTCCTCATACTCACAGCACTTAGTGACAGAGAGAGTGTCTGCAGAATGTCCAACATGGTCTTTAACACACGACCGCTCCAGAGTAGATGAGGGAATCTGGTTCAGATAGAAGGATGTAAAAATACTTAGAAAAAATGATAAGCGAGAAAAAAGCAGACAAGGTAACTAAATGATTTCTACTCACGTCTCAGCCAAACCAGAGAGGTATTTGTCTGCTACTCTGCGGATCCTCTTGTGGGTATGATTAAAGTTCACCAACAAGAATTGGGCATGACGCTCTAATTCTTCTTCGTGTTCTTTGGTCTTTGCCTGAAAACATAAGAAACAAAATGATTTTTTAAAATCTGAGCTTAATTAAATGTTGAAAGCTCCACATATTTTACTATTTAAATACCCCCTACCTTCTCGCCATCATCTGAAGGAAAACATCAAATACCTTGTCGCCAACACAAATGATGGGCCAAGATCTATTTATTTGGAAAATGTGCTAAATGTGGGCTCATTGTGCTAACTGTAGCTACTTGTACATAATCATTTGAAAAGAAGCACAGAGTCACTTGAGACATGTACTAAAGCATTTGCAATTTGATAAAACCAATGAAAAATGACATTCTGTTGTGAACAATTGCAAGGTGGTTTGGAGATTTGTCCATGTTATTTTGAGAAAGTCATCTCGGTTTCAAGAAATGGGCCAAACCAATCGAGAAAAACTGTAATAAAAAATGTCCACGATGATGCGGCTCATCTTTGGGGAAGATCAGTGCACCTACAGGATTGACTTGGAATCAGTGATGGTGTCATGCAGAGACAACAACTTCCTTCTTAATTCACCAAAGACATTGGAGCTCATCGTGGACTTCAGGAAGAAGGAAAGGTTACTCAGCCATTACTCGTTAACAGGAAGTGTATGGAGAAGGTTTCAGTTTCCTGGTTTTTGGGAGTCCACATCACAGCAGACTTGACCGGTGGTGTTAACACAGCTGAGGTGGTGAATAAGGCCCAGCAAAGACTTCATTTCCTGAGTGTGATAACAAAAACAAAAACCCCAACAACATCCACCTCAAACTGCTGGTATCCTGATATCGCTGCTCAATAGAAAGATTACTGACACATCGTCTCTGTGTGTGGTTTTCCAGCTGCACAGCGGCACAAAGCACTTCAGCAGGTTATCAGAGTTGCCCAGAGAAAAGTCAGTTTGCCCTCTCTGGAGAAACTTCACAATACCCACTGTTTCAGGAACGGCCCCAAATTTTGTGTGACCCATCACACACATATCAAGATCTTTTAAATTGCTGCCATCAGGCAGACAATACAGGACAATAAAATCAAGGGCAAATAGGCTAAAAAGAGTTTCTACCCCACAGCCATTAAAAGATTAAATGCAATTAAAGTATAATTTCTAATTATTATCAATGAGACTGATGCAATCTCCTGTATATTGGGGGCCACGATGGCTGGTTGAGGGTGTGTTCAGGCCAGATTAGTACTAAGACCGAGAAAATGTGATGAATAAACACTTACAGCTGGCAGTCACTATTGTAATGATAAAGTGAAATTTACACTTTGATCTGAGCAGCAAAGCTCTGCTAATATTTCCTGACTCATTTTTACAGGCTTCACACTCTGAATAAAAACACACACACTAAACAATATGTATTATGTATGTCTATGACTCTATTTTGACTTCTTTCAGTTGAATGATTGGGACAAAGAGAGATTGTTGCTTTAATTTCATTTTAAAGTTGCCTGGTGTAATTACTGGGATGCAGAAGTAAAAATTCAACCGCCACCACTGCAGTGTACTCACAAAGAAAGACCCAAACACCTTGCGTAATGGGAATTGCCTTTTACCAGAGGCTGATCTTCAGAATACAGTATATTTGTTCTGTTTGGTTTGTCTGCAAATGTGTATGTTTCTAATTAATGTTGTTGCTCTCTATGACATTAGACCAGTGAGCAGCTGAGGGTGAGGAGGTGTTTTCTGTTCAGCCCTGAGCCTCTGATGCTTTCCCAGACGGATTGTGTGACCAGACAGGCTCCTCTGGGAATCTCCTCGCTGAGCTACACGCTGTAGCAGCCGCCTTCATGAATAACAAGTAGCTATAAAACCAGACCCCCCTCCCAGTCTTACCCACATGCCTGCACATACCTGCACAATACACTAACATGTCTCCATGGGTTTACAAATATCCTGATACAGAAAGGCACAAGCTCATAGCTGCAATTGTACAAGCTCAGATGCTGTTATTACTTAGATTATTATTACCTAAATTATTATTATTACCTAAAGCAGACACACACAAAGAAGCGCCATTCTGAAAGCTGACAGATGGGGTTTGTGTGTACTGATTACAGTTAGGTCCGTGAGTATTTACACGATGACACAGTTTGTGTTATATTGCCTCCGTACACTACCACGGTAGAGTTTAAATCAAACAATCAAGAATTGCAGATTCTTACCTTTAATTCAAAGGGATGGCAAAAGTGTTTTTGTACATAGTCCCCATTTTCAGGTGATCAAAAGTAATTGGACATTTGACCGAAAAGCAGTTTCATGGTTGAAGATGGCTGTTCTTTCTTATTCCACGACCAATTAAGCAGATTAAAAAAAATCTGGGGTTGATTCAAATGTTGAACTTGTATTTGGAGGCTGTTTACTGGAACTCTCAATATGAGGTCCACATAGATGTCAGTGCAAGTGAAGAAGGCCATCACTAAAAAAAAGGCCAAATCAACAATGAATGTAACCACAAAGATGATGAAACACAGCTAACGTGTGGAATTCTGTCTGTGGTTAAGAAAATGACTTCAGAAGCCGTCATGAATGTAAACACAGAGGGTTTCATAACAAAGTGCAAACCGCTGGTTAAACTCAAGAATGGGAAGGGCAGATTAGGCTTTGCCAGAAAACAGAGCTTGCACAGTTCTGTAAAATATTTTTGGACAGATGAGACCAAGATGAATTTGGTACCAGGTGAACCAAAAAGACTGAAGAAAGAAAAGAACAGCTGATGATCTGTTATGGCATGGCATGCACGAGTGCCTATGGAGTCAGGTCACTAGTGCTTATTGACCATTACATGACAAAACACTTTTCTGCATAACAACAAGAAACAGACACTTTTTATTTGGCCCATTGGACTTTATGAAATGCTTCAATATTACTTACCCTGATGTACAGTAACCACCTAACCCTTTGCTTTCCAACGTTTATGCGATTAAAGGCATTGTTTATTTTAAAAAATCGTGCTTTCACTTTTAGGTTATTCAAAATGTATTTTGTATAATAACAGCTACAGACATGAAGACTGAACGTAAGGTGGAGGTCAAAGGGCGCGCACCTGCCGTTTTCATGCTCTGAAAAATATTTCCCTCGTGGTTGGCTAGAGCTCGCCACGAATCGACAGCAGACCAATCGGAGCACAGTAACTGAGTTTAAAATGCCACTTGCTTAACCAAATGGATGTGATTGGCTAGCCAAACGTGGCCAGCCAATTACAATTTCAGGTTCGTCGTAAACAGACTGCACTGGCCAATAGCATATGCGGAGGGAGGGTGTTTATTTTCCCTAATGACGACAGCACCTTTCTTGTGCCAGGAACTGAGCAGCGAAGCAGAGAAGGAAGGAGGAAATCTGATGGGAGGGAGCGACTACAGCAGGAATATTTAGGATACGCGCTTCGTCGTGTAGCTATGACTCCAAGGACACTGCAGTGAGGTGTTCCTGGTGTGTTGGCTAGCTGATGTACGACGAGATTAGCTAGCTGTTTCTGTTTACCGAAGTTTGGGCTGAAAAGTTCACGGCGGTGCGGGATCGGCGTTTAACATTATTATTGGCTCTGTTCTACTGCTGAAACAGACCTACAGATACAGAAGACATGGTGTCCTGGATGATTTCGAGATGCGTTGTGTAAGTACAGAGACCGCTCAAGGAGAACTCTTTCCTCGTTTTATGAGCAGCCGCTGTTTGCCTGGCCTGCTTGGCTAACCCGTTGTCGTGCTTAAGCTAAGTGAAGGCTCGAGTCATTTAAACTTGTACATTCGCTCTAAAACAACATCGCTTACGTCCACACAGAGCTACAAAGTTGTTCTGTTTATGAAATCTAGTGTTGTGGGGACGCAAGGTATGTAATCTTGTCTGAAGCTAATGCTAACAGGTTTGAGAGCCATAGCCATCCGTGGTGCTGGTGAGTCAGTCCTAAGGAACTGTGACTATTGTGAAGTGGAACTTTACAAGCCTTTACATGTTCCACTGTGAAGGAGTGTCAGGTACAGCTGTCAGCCTGGAGATATAACTAACCAGCAATGCCCGGTTCAACCTGTTATCCACAATGTTGTCAAGACGCATGAAGAAGTGCGCTGCTATAAGTGGGGGGACGGATTTGGTTACTGGATAGTTATTAATATCCAATGGCATATCACTGGATATTACGTTGAAATTGTATGATTAAAGCAGGTGTTTAATGTGTTGGGAGCATGAGAGACATGTTGATCTGGTAAGGAAAACAGTAACTTAGGAGTCGACATAATTCCTTTCTTCCCGTCTGCTCCTCCCTGTGTCTGCATACGTCCACAGGGTAATGGCGGATAGGAACACCAAAAGCCCTCTGGGGAGAGAATAAATGCTCCTCATTTTTAACTAGTACAGCCTGTTACTGTATAATGAACACAGTCATGGGCTGACGGTGCTGCACTTGGGCAGTTATGACGGTGCTGAAAGTACAGAAAGAAGGTGTGTTATTGTCTTAGACCAATAATTACATGCACACACATTCCTTCTAATTTTAGATTCATTTGAACAAAAGGAAAATTGTATAGCCAAGTGTACAAACCACATTCGCCTGTACAAATTGTAGCTAGAGTGATAATTTTCATTTTACTTGGACAATAACTTATCCCAATCCTGCTGAGAAAAAGCCTTTAAATCAGCATGCGGTCCATTACACATGCTCTTTTCCAGTTGCTGGTTTGAAATTCAGTGTAATTTTGTTTAGTCACACATTTATTACAGTCTGCTATATGCTTATGCATCGCCACAAAGAGATTGTTATCTCCTACACAGATAATGTGGCGAGTGTTACTATCTTTTTGCATCTCTCCACGATCTCATAGCTGGTGTATTTTATTATAGCTGAAATAAATAAGGTTGTGTCTACACATAACAGACAACTTGTTGTTAAAAAAGTTCTGTACTTAGACCCCATTTTTACTTTAACTTACTAAAGAAACGGCAGCGGTAACAGTTTAACAGGCATAAAATTGTATTTTTGCTCCCACAAGATGATTCCAAAAAGCTGTTGGTGGAACATTCAGCATATCTAAAGTGGAGGACAACATCTCAGATGAACAATTACTGAAAGTCATTAAATGAGAAGAAAGAGGACAGAAGTTTCAGACTCTCCTTTGCACGTTGTGTCAATCAGCAGCTCTGCCTCGACTCATTGATAACAGGTAGTCAGAAATGTGTATAGAAGGACTTTGTGTTGGTATCCTCAGATGCATGTTACCATTTTGGAATCAGCTTTGTGCCACAGCTTAAAATGTTTGCAGTTGCTAATGTTGTAGAAATGCTAAAGGTAACATAATGTATCTAATAGCGTTTAACACTACTGCCTCCTCCACAGTCAGCACCAGCATGTGACTGATTCACAATGACTTTTTAGTAAAAGCTTAAACAGTGTGGTACTGGTACTGACTATTACATGTTTGCTGTTGTGATGTCCCTACACAGACTGCAGCAGAGTGTTGTGACTATCCATTTTTATGGACATTGCTTACTTTTCACATCTATTTTCCTATCTGTTTTTTTCCTTATGCTTTTATTTGGCTCTAACTCATTTTCATATAGAGTTAATGTTATCTATATGCTAAAGCCATAAAGAACGGCACACAAGGATATAATACTGTGAAATAAGGCAACAGCACAGATGACGTGGCAAGCATGCAGTAACAGCAATCAGTCAAAGTCACTGCCACAGGCCCAGTTTGATTAAGGCAAACCCCAGGCTAGAGCTTTGGTTGGTTTAGCCCATTAGGCTGTGCAAGTGACCTATATGTTTAGGCTAATGCAGGAAAACATCCCCTCTGTAAGCAGTGTCCTCATGGTCACCACCAAAAAAGGAAAGCAAGTCTTCAATTTGAGATCAAGGACTTCTGTCACTCTGCAAAGAGAACATGTAGGTATAACTAACGGTTTCTGTAGTGCACAGGGAAACCCTGGAAGTGTCACCGTAACATAGGGATAAAATCCAAGAGTTGACATTGTTCTATTTTAAGGTGATGAACTCAGCATGAGGAAAAGAGCAGCAGCACCTCATTCTTACGCGTTTCCTTTTCACTTCAGTGTATCTCCCTTTCAGCAGCCATTTCCCTCGTCTGATTGTGCCGCAGTAGAAAAATAAATCAAAGGCTGATTTTCGACCTGTTTCTAATTTTAGGCAGCACCCTCACAAGTCTGCAAGTTAATGTGCCAAATATTTGTGTGCCTTTCTTCGAGTCTGTGTATTCAGCTTGTTTCATAGTTGCCGTGTCCTTTTAAGTTTAGCGACAAAGATGTTTGAGTAACCTGCTTCAGAGATAACCTGCTTCAAGATAACGATAATATAACAAAGGAAGCAGTGATTAAAAGACAGTGGGATTTCAGCATGCTCAGCTGTACAGGTCCAAAAAAGTTTTCCTTCAAAAGAAAGTTTTTGTTGTATAAGCTCGCCTGTCTCTGCCCGTCTGAGACCCTCACGTTCACTTGTATTGAGGGGAACAAAGTCAATATTCATGCACCAGCTTCACTGTGCTAATGTGTGTGTATTATCCTAACCATAGCTCTCTAGCTAACCACCATGTGGCGCACCATTACATGCCAGCTAGCCAACTTCAGTAACCCTACAAATCAGGCCGCTGTGTGGTTGTGTCTTTATTTATATCCAGTGATAGCAGAGCTGTATGTTTTAGTTTTTCAGAACTCCCTCAGTCAGAAAACATCCATCATCTTTAGATAGCACAGAGTTAGATCGCTAGTTTCTAACTTGTAACGCTGTTAAACTTCTTAAATCCTGTTTTTCATGGATGCTTGTGTGTTCAGCTGGATTATCACACCTTTTAGAGCAGCCACACTGATCATTTGGATGGTTTTTGACTCAGCAGTGTTTGAGTTTGGGAACTTAAGAGGAGTTTGGACCCAGAAACAGCCATTGACTGTGTTTTTAGTGGAAAAGTCATGTCATCAAGTTCTTTTTCCTAAGGCTCAAACCAGATGGTGGGAGCTAAAATCTTGGATATCTCTGGGTCTCCCACTCCTCCTCTCTTCATTGTGTGTGTGTGTGTCTCCTGTGTGTTTTTCTTCTGTGTTTTTTTTTAAACACTGCTCTGTGTTTCTCTGTTCTTTCCTTCCACCTCCATCCATCTGGTTTTTGGTGGTGTACGATGTCAGGAAGCCAGGGAAACTGACCTGTCGCCCAGAGTCAAAACTCATCTGAAAGCATTATTTTCACAGCTGCATGCAGAGAGAGGAAGGGGTGGGGGTGTGCTGAAATGAAGCTAAGAGGAAATCAGAGGGAATATAAAGAAATGGACAGATGCTAGTTTTGGCATGATGACATTCAACATGTGTTCTGTGAGTATTTGTAGTTTTCTTTCTTATCCTCGTGCACAGGATACGTTTAAGATCACGAAAAATGTAAACGTGCTCTTGCTACCATAGTAACTATCTAAATGTTTCCTAATAGACTTTTTTTAAATATAAAAATATACAACACTCCTGTTGTTGTACTAAAGTGGTACTCACAGAGGTCAGACACCATGGCATCAGTAAAGATGAAACCTCTATGTAAAGTCTGTACCAGAAGCATGCCAAGGGTGTGACATACAAAACAAGGAGTCCAGCCTGGGAACGATAGACCTCCGTGTAGATGGGACACAGCTGAAAGTCTAAAGGAATCTCTTTGATCCTGAATGATTCAGTTTAAAATAAATATTAGTACATAAATCAGCACAGTCACATGACCCATAGTAATCTAATTAGGCCATGTGAAGCTCGATGACAGGAGGACATTTGATACTTTTTTCAAACTTCAGATTTGTCCTCAATTCGTCTTATGCCAGGTTCTGCTCTGGTGTTAGTTTGCACAGGTCTTTGGCTAAACAGAGTAAAGGACTGCACAGTAACTGTAGTTTAAGTGTAAATAATAATGTCTTGGTTAGCATGTTAGTTTTCTAAAACCAGAAGGGACCATATTTGGATGATGTGGTACAGTATTAAGTTGTTAGCAAGCTGTGAAACACAAACACATATGCTAATTAGTGCTAACACTAGACTTTCATTCACGAAGACTGAGGCTCTGTTTCATACAGAAGCTATTTTAAAATGCCATTAAAAATACTGAAGAAGGTGCAAACACAGTGGAGAGGTCCAGTTCAAGCCTCAAACAGAACGATTGGCTAAAGTTCCCAAGTCAGGAGCCGTGTCAGATCAAAGTGGCTGCACTCCAGCGTCATAAGTAAATTCACCCACTTTACAGTAACTGTCGATAGAGGAACAGAACATTACTTTTACTAGGTAACGTATCAAAGTTGATAGCTATGGGGATGGAGGCCAGATTCACTGGCCGGTTTGCTGTTGCAGGACGTATGGTAGCTGCTTCTTCACAGTTTCTTGTTTTGCGCATCACCAACCAGAACCTGCACCAGGTGAAGAAACGACTGGTGCGACTGCGCTGAGCTCAGTGTAGTTGTAGAGCAGAACAAAGACTACTGTGGCTGCTGCAGTCTGAAAGGGTGAAGTAGCAGTGACTCTGCAGAATGAGAAACTGTCCGAAGAATTGGCTGAGTATATTACTCAGTTATTTTTTTATAAATAGTTTGCAGAGAATTACAGAAAAGACAGATTAAAATGCATTAATTTAATAATGTAAGACAGTGTGCTGAGAAACAAGCTGCAAGTGCATTAAGAAGGATTCACTCACCCTTCCAAATCATCAAATTCAGCTGTTTCATCGCCCTTATCGTGACAGGTGTATAAATCAAGCACCTAACCATGCAGACTGCTTCTACAAACATGATGGATGCCACCTGTGCAACAAGTACAGCTGTGAAGTTGCCTTACTGCTAAATATTCCACAGTTGGTGGTATTGTAAGTGGAAGCAACTGGGAAATGACAGCAACTCAGTCACAAAGTGGGGTCAGCTGATGTGGAGACACAGCGTGTGCAGAGTTGCCAAGCATCAGTCACTCAGAACAGTGCTTCAGATACAGATGTTTGGATTTTGTGTGGCTTAAATATTTTTATAATAAAATGTATGAAATAGCTCAGGTGACTCCTGCTGAGACAAATCCACTCTTGAGGTTTGATTTTCCTGCCTGTGATTGTCCTACTTTCCTGGAGGAACCTTCCACACCCGCCTTCACTTTCCTGCATAACATACCGTCCTTTAAGTTTAACAGCGTTCACCACCAATATGGGTACTCATGGATTTGTTACCAAGTAATATCTTTGCCATCATATGAAACTGAAAAGCCGAATCCTACGTGACAGCACATGTGGAAGACTCACTTTACATCTTCGGCCACATACAGCTCTCTTTGATTTTAAGTGGGCTGGACTTTCATTGGGAAAGTAAATTCCCAATGAACTAAAAACATTTAACTGCACATTTAATCTCTGAGTAAGAGTGTGTGTGACGAATCGTCTAATCGTTGCTGCTGTCAGGAGTCGGTACAAGGCGTGGCTGTAGCTGCGGCGGTAGAGCAGGTCACCTACTAATCAGAAGGTTGGTGTTTGGTCCCCGTCTGCTCCAGTGCATGGCAAGTATCCTTGGCTAAGATACTAACCCCAAGGTGTCTCTGCTCCGCCGTCAGATTATAGAACATATCTTACATGCAGGAAGAGTGCTTGTGTGACTGGGTGAATGAGGCAGGTTGTGTAAAGCATGTGCTCAGAGTAGAAAAGCGCTATATAAGAACCAGTCCATTTACTAGTCATTTAATTGAATTATTTTCGTATAGCATCAATAGCTGTAGTGGAGATTTTTATCAGTGGGACAGGCTGTAAAATGTGTGAAAATACAGTTAAAAGAAGAAGAAATCAGTGGGCCTGATTGCAGTGTTTTCTGGGCTGATTCTGAATCTTGGACCTTATGTTTGACACCCTTGGTATGGCGAGACCAGGACGTCCTTGCAGGCTCTTGTCCCTGTGTGTCTGGGTAGTCCAGGGTCTGATCTTGGCAGCTTTCCTTTCTGCTTTAAACGCTCACACAAAACCCATTCAGCACCAGAACAGAGAAACAGGATTCAGGTACAGAGTTTTGTTTTCCGTCGGTGGCTCGGCTGTGTGCTTCTCTACCCTTTATCGAACAAAAAGCACATTTTTGAACCTGCACTGACATGACGCAGAGACGTGACGAGCGTGTGAGGTCTTGGTTACCTTGATGTTTCTATAGCGACAGCTGGAATATAAACAGCTCTGTTTGTTGGCAGCTCGCTGGTTACTGAGGGGACTGTGGTCCGAGGCGGTGTGTCTGTGTACGATACTGTATCCATAAAGTCTGTGGTTAGAGATTTTTATGGAATTTTTATAGTGCAAAAATGATTTAAAGGCTTCCATGTTTCCTAAAAGTCTGAAAGTTGTTCATAACTAATCAGTAAATAAGCCGATTATTTACAGCCACGGGGCAGTAAATACTCAAAGGATCCGTTCTTGGTTGCTGAGCTCTTGGTAAAATCCTCAACATGTAGCAGAAGGGTTAAATCAGCTCCTTTATTCTTACACCATCATGAGATTATCTGATATTTTTGTCTTTATAAATGTCGAAACATTTTGCAAACATGAAAGTATTTATGTTGTATCCCATCACTGCTGTTGATGTAAGTGATCAGAGTGATCGGGCACTGGAAGGCGGAGTCTTGTTTTTCTTTTAATCTGATCCAATACTGGATGATTAGAATGATCGATGTCTCCGGCCTGTTCTCGCTTCCTTGTGAGGCGTGTTCAGTATTATGAACATCAGCTCCTGTTCATGTGTCCAGCTGCTCGTGAGAGGAGGCTGTGTGCCTGTCTGTGGCTGCTGTATCGTGTTGAACTGGAGAAGTTTAAGATGGCACTGATATGGATGATGGTATTTCTCTGGATCCAGGCTACACTTGGGTACGAGAGATTCTGTTTAGTCCAAATCTGTGTTTAGCAGATACCATTTAATCTGCTTTGGCTGTTTCCTCTGTACAGAGTTTCTCACAGGCTTCTTATCATTTGGTTTTCTCTGGTGTTTGCAGTGCTGTTGTGAGACTGGTCAGGTGTATTTGAGTGGAGGCACAAACAGACTACAGCATTAAGATCAGGATTGTTTGATTTGGATGGAGAGGATCGTCCCACGCTTATGCGAGCATGTCTGGACTCGCTGTAGCCGCTGCTGTTGTCATGGTAGCTAGCGGCAGTCCGGTAAAACTCATGAAGCCCGTCTTTCTAACGTGTGTGTTTTAATCGTTTCCCGTGAACATCCGCAGAATTAAAGCACTGAAATCTTTATGATGTTAACATGAATCATTCTCACAGTTAGCACAAATTGAAGACCACAAAAATGTTGGGACTTTCTGCAAGACAGGGAGCAGGTCCAGGACCACTCCCAGTCAGCTCCAGTCTTCAAAGCAACTTTAATGCGTTCAGACGACAGCAGTAAGACACGGCGAGTCTATCATTCGTCTGGTTTTTGTTTGATATGGGGCTAGTTTGGCAATTACATCGATTCTGTTTGTTATAATACAGCGATTAACCATTAAAATGAACAAAATCACAATTCTGTTTTCATCTACATGTATAGAAAATACAACTACACAAATGTAGTTGCTTCCATTCAGAGTCTAGCCAGAACCTTCAGACTTACAACAGAAATGCCCCCACAAAGAGCCATGCAGTTGCTACAAAATGTCAACATAATGTCAGCAAATTCACTTTTATAAAAGAATAAAAAGAGCGCGACTAGTTTAGTCTCCTCTTCCAGAGAGGCGCTCGCAGGTACTGGGACAGCCAGATTGCAGTAGTTTGCTGATTGCAATTAGACAGACATTATTTGCAAACCTTTGCCAATCTGTGTGAGAGTGATTGCAATCAGACAGCTATGTTCCAGCTATGTACCTAAACCTTGCTTTGTGATCAAAAGTGGTGAGACTGAGGCTGTTGCATCCTGGTCCATGCTCGACCTCTCAGCCACTACATAAGTTAGTTATTTATTCATTTTTGTGAAACCCCCCCCCAAGAACAACCAAACAGTCCAGTAAAACTAGACAAGGTAAGCAGGGTAAAACAAGGTAACCCACAACATTGCTGATGGCTACTAGCTAACTAGCTAAAAGAGTAAAAGTTCTTTACTGGTTTTGTTCTGTTCTATCGACGAGTCAGACAGCTTTAAGAAAACTCTGGTGACAATTTCCACACTTTTTACATTAAATGTGACGTACAAAAACTGCGATGATACTAAAGCACTTATTTTGTGCTGTAGCCATGCTGTGCTTCTCCTGTCTGTCAGTGTTTCCTGTAATCTGTGCAGCTGAGTAATGTTGATGGCAGCTGACAAACTGAATGCCGCCCAAGAAGCTGTGTGTTCTTATGTGGTGCACAGTCAGGGTATATCTAGCTTGTGCATAATGGAGAGATCTGCACACTGTGCTGTAGACAGAGTAACCTCAGTGCAAGAGGAGGAGCTTAAGAAAGAGGGATTGGAGGAAAGGAGTGTCCCACTTTAAATTTATCGAGTCGCTTATCTTGCATTGTGAGTCACTCCTTCACAGGCTTCTACCATGAACAGTATATGGTGTTTACCTAGTGTGGGTGTGTAGATGTTCATTGTTTTGCTGTGTGTAACGAGAGCTCTCCTAACGTCATCTGAAACGCTTAATCCTTTATTGCTCGTTGTGCAGTTTCTCTTTCGTTCAGGTGAAATTCAGTATATAATTAAAAAAACGAGGCCTGCACAGTCAAAAGCACCTCAGCTTCAGAAACCCAGCTTCACATTCTTCATATGATTTTCTCTGCTTGAATCTTAGCACACAGTCCTGAGTGAACAGTGCAGTATTTTGGGGTAGTGTTGAAAACTGCATAGAAACCAAACTGTTGCATTATATTACAGAGGAAAGTGGGATATAAATGAGTCCCCACATTGTTCAGATGCAAGAAATGATGGTTTTTAACAATAAAAACGCAGTTTTGGACGTTTGCCTTAGCTTGCATGGTGGCACTGCAGGCTTTCAGCAGTGTATGCATTGGTACAAACAAACCAACATAAAAATAATTTCTTGTATACATGTGAAACAGAATGTATAAACCTGCAGCACTGGTTCACCACTCAGTATCTACTGTATCATATACACCATGTACGGGCCCGTCTTCACTATGTATGCCTGCTGATCAGCGTGTTGAAATAGGGTGTGGGTTTAAAGGCAAAGCTGTGTTTCCACATACCAGCGATGTTACAGTGCAGAGAACTTTCCTGTTAGTTAAACTTTACTAGAGAAACTGTATTTGTGTTGATTAAATTTGAGATTAAAATGATGAGTCATGTGTTCTGTCTCCATGCAGGCTGCTGTTTGGGACTCTGTATCCTGCGTACTACTCTTACAAAGCTGTCAAGACCAAAAATGTTAAGGAATATGTAAGTTCAGAAATATTACTTTTTATTTACTTCTCTTCTCCTGCATGACTTCATCTCACACACAGACACACTGTGGGGGGGTGAGGGGGGTCTAAGTTATTAACATTTGTTAATGTTGTTTTTAAACATTAGAAAACATTTCATTTCAACAACTTCGACAAATTAGGAGGTAACGTGGGCCAAAATGATCTGGAGCTAGAGCTGGGCGATAGAACGATAACGATATGTATCGCGATATAACTTTTACTCGATAGAGAAATTAAGCTATCGCGATAGACCTCGCCGCTCTTGTCCTCTTAAAAAAAAAAAAAAAAAAAAAGGTCAGCCAATCCAAATTAAGTAGCGCAGAGCCGAACCAATCACAGCCGCAGCGTCACGTCGCGTGACTTGTTACAGCACAAGTGCCAAGCCGCACGTGTGTTTGTTTGGGAAGCAGCCAGCGGGTAATGGAGGAAATGAGTGTGCCGACTAGAAAAATCAACCGAGCGTGACCGAAGAGAAAACAGATGATGGTTCCAACGCCGGAGAGATTGTCGAACGGAAGAGCCATAGAAGTTCCGTAGTGTGAAGGTATTTCGGCTATTTCAAGTCTGACAAAAAACAGAGTAGCGTGCACTGTAAATTGTGCCGAAAGCAAGTCTGGAAATACAATAAACTGGTGCATGCGTCACACTGTGCGCCACGTTATTGTTTCGGTGAAATGAATTTCTACAATACTGTTACTGTTAATTCTACTCTCTGCAGTGTTTAAATGCTTACATATACACACAGTTACTGTCCCTCCACACATACGACTCGGTTCTGCTTCTATGCCCCAGCTTTGTTTACTTTTTCCCACCGAGGCTTCTAGACTTCTGATTGGCCAACATTTCTGCACGGTTAGGAATCTAGCGCCACCTGCTGCTTTGGCATGTTCATAGCAGCGTTTTCCTTCATTTCTGCCTTTATGTGTGGACGGGATTATTTTTTAAAACGAAAACGGAAAATCTCCGTTTTCAAAAATACCCGTGTACGTGTGGACGTAGCCTCAGTCTCTGACTGGAAGCGCTAATTCGTCATTCGGCTTTTGTCAGACTAAAGTAACTGTTAAAACTGTTTGAAAAGCTCAGCTATACAACAAGGAGAGATTGAGAATTTCCTTTTAGTTCTCAGTTTATTTGATATTGACAAAAGTTAGTCAGTTTTGTCTGTTCTTCTGTAAAACAAACTAAGATTTATTTTTAGAATTAATATTTTGTTTCTAAGTGGAATTGACAATTTAGTCTGTTTCGTTTGTTCTATTTTGAAACTTAAACGCTTTAGCGGCTGCCTTTTGTGTAGTTTGCAATATTTGCCTTTATTTATCTGAAAAAGTCTCATGTTCCTTAAGTACATCTACCCTGTTGAACTTATTATGGGAAATAAATATTTAAATAAAAACAAGCTGCTGATTATTTCACATTTTACTTGTGAGCAACGGCACATTTAAATCTTACAAATATAGTTATTTGGCTTATATCGTGATAGATATCGTTATCGCCTGAAATGAAAAAAACATATCGTGATATGAAAAAATCTCATATCGCCCAGCTCTATCTGGAGCATGATTATAGCTTTTTCACTTAATGAGTAATTATACCAGCAGGCATGCAAATGAATAATATCATCAAGTGACGTCATTTTGTATGTGAATGCATCCAGCATGGTCCTGCTGACACAGCCGTCGTGCTTCATGTGCTGTCTGCATATGTCAGTGAAACTGAACATATGATGTTGTAAGTTTAAAATATATATCTTATTTTCATCATTATGTACCTTTTTCAAAATAACCTGAATGGTGATATTAACTCAGAGATGATATGTGCAGTACAGTAATAGACTATGTTGGACTAATGCAGAGCAGGCTGTGTATCCACTGTTAGTGACATTGACTGCAAAGTACCTACTGGGATCGACTCAGTATGGTGTGCCACAGTTTTTCATTAGGTCATAGTACCTGGTACCAGGTGTGGGTTTTTGGGGTTTTTTTTAAATAAAGAAGTACCTGCTTGCCCGGGGTTCCAGGCGATCCAAGCAGGCACTAAAATGTGAGGTCATCAGACTGCATGCCACTGATTGGCTGGTCAGTAGCGTCACTCGGTGAGTCACGGAGAGTGTCTCCTTCATGAAAATTAAAATCGCCATTTTTGAAACCCGAGATTGAATGAAATGGCAAAACCCCCAACAAAAACAACGCCATGATCTTTGAGTGTGACGAAACGCCACGGGCCAAACACCAGGTATTGTGTCGACGTCCAACTTTGTTGTAGTGTTCGTGTCGCATATTAATTACATTGCAGGATGCTCGGGCGTGTTGCTATGACAACAATCTCACACATTAGGTAGTACTGGATTGGGCGGCCAGTCAATCCGTGGGGAGTTGATCTGAGGAGGTACTGATGGAAAAAGGAGCTTGTGTCACATTTTTCTACATTCAGGCTGCTGATGCTGTTTATTTTGACTTGACAACTTCCACTCGTTATACAACAGCATCTTTGTGCTGGTTTGCGGTGTGAAAGCAGCCAGCGCTCATGATGTTCTCCCGTATACATTCTCCTATTTACTGACCACTTTATTAGGTATGAATCGATCATTCAGTGTGCCTCTGTCTGACTTCAGAACTGCTTCATGACTGCATCGACGCAGATTCAGCGAGGTGATGGAAGCAGTCCTCAGAAATGTAGAAATGGATTTCTACAATGGCGGACCTTTAATTCGACTCTCTGCAGTGTTTACATGCTTACATATACAACACAGTTTCAGTCCCTCCACACAAAGGGCTCAGTTCTGCTTCTCTGCGCCATCTTTGTTTACTCTTTCCCACCCAGGCTTCTAGACTTCTGATTGGCCAACATTTCTACACGGTTAGGAATACATCGCCACCTGTTGCTTTGGCATGTTCCTAGCAGCGTTTTCCTTCGTTTTTGCATTGACATGTGGACGGGATTTTTAAAAAAAAGAAAAGAAAGCGGTAAATCTCAGTTTTCAAAAGTACCCGTGTACGTGTGGACGTAGCCTGAACCTCAGTTTGAACTTAAGCAAGCCGACTTGCTTAACTATTAAACCTATTGGTAGATTAATAGTTCTTTTGAAGTGAGTTATTTCTCCCCTGTGCCATTAGAGGACTTTAGAGTCAGGCCTACCAAAGCTCACTTTCATCTGTGATTACAGTCCTCCATCCTTTGAAATATTTTCTTCTCTGTCAGTTTTAAAAATGCGTTTGATGGTTCGAATGATTTGATCTTTCATCTCGATTCAGACATTCTTGTCCTTGTCTTGGGGACTAGCCCCTCTGGTAGATACCAACTTGCTTTCTTTAAGTCTTTTGCGGAATGTTAAACAGGTCTTGGGACTGATTACACATTTGAAGCACGGCTGGATGCATATAGACGATATGCCCTAGAGGTGTTTTGGCTAAGGAGTCGGGTGATGTAACTAATACCAGTGAGAGTGACATTCCAGTCTGCTGAGTTAGTAACACATTCACATACAGCTTTAACACACCCTGTCTCAGACTGCTGCGTCTTTCACCCACTTACTTTATCCTTATCTGCTCTTCTTGTTAGACCTCTGCTTTTACTTTGCTTTTGCAGAGGTTCATAAAGGAATGGTTGGAAATGAAGATCAGTACTGTTTCTTGTTTCATGAAGCAAGATGTACTTAAGCTGACCAGGAGAAATACTTTGTGTGCAGCGCAGCAGCTTTCTGCGTCTCGTTGCTGCTTGTTTGTAGCTGCAGCTCACCCTGCAGAGGTTACTCCAGTTCATGACAAACTTGAAACAGATTCAAGTCCCAGCCTTCTTCTTTGTTCACTGCTTATGAAAACGTGCACGTACCATTGCGCTCACTGACTGACGATAGTGATGTCGCTCAGATTCCAGCAGCGTTGTAGTCGGAGTTGTCCATCCATGTACAGTCGACCACACTCAGTTGTAGATAAACAGGTCTGAGATCAGCCGTGTGTATCCCTGCCATGATTGAGCAGGCCCGTCTGCTCCACCATGTGAGTACATACAACATATCTTTTGCAGTGTGTTTTGGAAAACTTAAGCTGTTGTGCATCAAATGCTTTCCAGATGGTGTTTCCTGATTTAAATTTCCATTAATTTTGACAAAATCTCTAACACGGTGGATTGGACTCTGTGGTTTACTGATGGCTGTAGACGCTGTACTTTCAGAAAGGTTGGTGTTAGGTGGCTACAAAAACCCAAACAGTCCTCCAGTACAAGCACTGAACTGTAAATGAGTATGAAAAACAGCCAATAACCAAATAACAGCTTTCAAAGACCTCCAGAAAGCTTGGAGAGCTGTTGCTCAAGACCACTTAAATCATTTTAAGAAGGTCTGGGATGAAATGAAGGATGACTAAAGACCTGAGCACATGAGATGTTGCTTTGTGGTGCTTCAGTCGGGCCAGTATATCGGCCAGTATCAGCTATTTGCCAGTTCAGCGTATCTGCACTTTTGATGGCTGATCAATGAACATAGTAAAGCAGAGATGTGACAGATGGCCTTAAATCATGTTGCATGGTTTTAAGCAACTTACCTTTTGGCAGCATGAGTTTGGAATACCACCAAAAGAAATCAGCTGATCCAAGTATAGTCTGGCAGAGTGTAAACAAGTAATCCACAAATCTCATAACTAACTACATACATCAGATTTTTTTAATCCCTAGATATCAGCGTATTGATCGAGTGGTGCCCTGTCAGCACTGCTTGGTGAGGTGGGGAGAAAAACCTCTGGGAGAAGCTCCAGCACAGGTCATGAGAGAGAAAGAACTTTTTAGCACCGATGTAAAAGCAAAAGCTGCAGTCGCTGTCTGTGCTTCACTTACAGGCTTTTCAACCAGTCAGCGTTCTTTGGACTGAATGTCATTGCCAACATGCTGGAGCCTTTTCGGAGGATTGAACTCAAAACCGCCATAAAGCCTCCGTATAAGGAATCATAGTTTGTCTACAAAGCCCAAGAACTATATAAATTAAGACCAAACATTATGAGCGATGCAAACACACTTTAAATAAAAGCTTGTTAGTCTCTGCAGCTGAGGAACATAAGATGTGGGTCAGTGCTTGAGAAAAGTGTTGTGATGCTCTGTGTGCACCTTAGAAGTTTGGTATAATAGATGACAGATGATAGATGACAATTTGATGACTAATCGATAAAACTTTAGTGTTTCTTTCATTTAGTCAGGATGAATTGATGGATGGTTAATCAGCTGCTTGGATGCAAGTTTGCTCAAAATTCTTTGAGTTTGTTTCAGAGGCACAACTGAAGCTCGGGTGGTCGTAACTGTTGCCCACCTTTTAGCATTTTACCTCTTAGCTGTAAGCTTGGGTGTTATCACACAGTGGGGCTGGCAGTGTGGAGCATCTACTAGGAGGCTGAGGTGTCGGGCCACCAGAATTTTGATCCAAGTTTAACCTTAGCAGTAGTGGCTGTGCAAGTCTAATGTAATGTTTCTTCTTCCCCCCCCCTGGAAGGCAGTTATTCAAAGACAGGGTCAGTAAATGTCTACTGTAGCCCCAGGAAGCTAAAAGGCTGGTGTATAGGTTACATCTTAATGCCCTTTGTACTGATAAAATGAATGAAGGAGGAAAGGAGCAAATATTCTATCAGAAATGGAAAGCAGAAGGAAGCTGGGAGCTGAAATGTCTGGAGCAGAGGGAGACTGAACATATAAATTAAACCTCTCAGTGTCAGCTCACTCTTTACATTTGGTGTGAGTGTGTGAGAGATGGGTGAATGTGTTTCCCTGTTGTTTCTCTTTCAAACACACTCTCACAGAGATGAGTGAAGTAATGTCATTAAAAACGATGAGAAGTCTTGGCTGACTTTCCATAATCTGCATTTTTTGATCTTGGATGTTTTTCATGGTGAACAGCTGTTCAGCATGACGGAGTGGTAGCTGAAAACCCCCCTCTGTGGGCAAATGGGACACAATTAAGCATCACTTATTTACTCACACACACCTACTGCTTGGTTTAACATGGAAATCCAGTCAGACAGGACTGGGAAGCCGTCAAAGAGGGACGAAGGAAGCCAGACCGCCGGGCCGGGGGGGGGGACCTTTGTCTAAGGAGCTTGGAAAGAAAAGCGTCTGGACTTCTTTAAGTTGCTTGAAGACGTTTCACCTCTCATCAGGGCAAATGACCTTAGAACTTAGAAGAAGCTTCTTTGACTACGATGACCTGGATGACTGAGAACCTTCACAGACGTCCTCAACCTTTGTTTCACTGCTGCCAGCCTGCGAAGGAGGCAGAGGCTTAGAGAAAGAACAACATCATTTAAAAACGAGTTTATTAGCTCAAAGCTGTCCACTGGGGTTTGTGACCATGTTCACTTGTTACACCAGTGTGGAGCAGGGTTCTTAGTAGAATAACTTTTGAATGCTCTGCTCAGTCAAAGCTGAGGTGGTTGATCATCAAAAATGATCAATTCTACCCATTTTCAAAATGCAGCTTTTTAGAAGCACCCATTGTGCCTCAGGGCATGTAATGTAATTCAAAAGAAACCCCAAGTATGTCACGTTGTGGGCATTACTATGCTATAAACGTCTTCTACTGAAGGACGCCGTCACAAATACAGGAAGTGTTCCTGTGTTTATTACACAAAGTGATGCACTCTGGGTCGATGATGCAAAATGGTGGCACTCCAGAGCCGCTTATTATAACTAACTAACTCTAACTGTTCAGAGCTACGCTTCCACTACTGTAGATATATTCATAGGACATCTGTTTACCACACACCGGCACATCTGTATATATGTAGCATATCTTTATATTTGTTCATAGTACACCTGTATATCTGCCCGTCTGCACAGATAGAACATCTGTGTGCTGTACAGATCACCTGTATATATTCATCTCTACTCGACTTATCTGTATATGCTCTGCTCTTATTGCACTTGCTGCTCTTGCAGTCTGCATCTAATCAGAAGTGTGTTTTGTTACTCTGTATGTATTCATGTGCAATGACAATAAAGTGGAATCCTAATCCTGACAGACCAGAATATACAAAATATGAGCTGCTTTTGGTTTTAACTTCCTGTGTGCAGGAAACGAGGGATGCAGTATGAATCCTCACAGCTATGGAGGGCCAGGAGTGACAAAATGAATTAATTAAATACACAAATTAAGTAATTAATTAAATGTGTCATTAATTAATTAAAAATTGGAATTGATTGAATGAATAAATTTATCAATAATTAATTAAAGGCACGATCATTCCATTTAAAACATTGAATTATTTATTTCCTATTTTATTAATGACACGTTTAATTAATTATATAATTGCTTAATTATTTACACATTTAATTATTTATTCCAGTTTTTAATGACGTATTTATGTCATTCATTTTGGCAGTCCTGGCCCTGTGGCTGTTCATGAATGAATTTCAGCCCATCAAAGTCAGGGGGCGGGGTTAGTGCTGAAGTCACACCCATTGCTTTGGGCTGCTGCGAGGCTGTATTATAAACTGTGATATGAGTCTGTAGGTGCTCTTATACTTCTTGCCTTCAGTTGTATTAGTTTCCTTCTGGAAGTGTGTGATGTGTTTCATAGTTTCTAACAGTGAAACGTAACGTGACATAAAAAAGCACGCCCCACACAATCAGATGTTAATCTGATTTTATTTTTATTTTAGTAAATCTAAAGAATCCTAACAGACAGAGGTGCTTAGATTACAGTTGAATTAAAACAAATGGATGATGTCATCATTTCTTCATGATCAGCATGCTGGTTCAGACGCTGCTGCTCTCGGTGGACATGCTCCCTCTCTGTCCTCCTCGTATAACAAAGATTTTTAATGTTAGTGTTAATATTAGTAATGTTAAGAGGTGATGCATGGTTTAATGCTCAGCCTTCCTTTTAAACGATGATTCATGCAGTTGTCTCTCTGCCTGTAGGTGCGATGGATGATGTACTGGATTGTATTTGCCCTCTACACTGTCGTGGAGACGATCACTGACCTAACACTGGCATGGTGAGTTTGCCATGAATGTTAAACACAAACGCAGTTAATCAAACATTATGTAAACCTCGTGAACTCGCATGTCGTACAGATACATCTACACTGACTGTGTGAGTGGAAGAAGTTGTTTTCCTCGCTACCCTGAATAATAATGATAGAAATGTACTCTTTCCTAGTGTAACTAGAATAAACTTGTGGTAATGTGGATGTGCACTGTGTAGGGACAGAGTCACATTTGCAGGAACTTCAGGTCGAGTTTCAGTGATTTTATGAATCTCTCATGTGGCAACATTTAGCTCGAAGGAACAATGTAACGATTTTGAGGAATTGATGGAGAACGATGTTTTTTTTTTTTTTGTTTTTTTACAGATGTTATATGCAGTTAAACTTTAAAACGCTGACATTTCTAAAACCAATGAGAAGTTTTTGAATATTTATTATTACTCATTAATAAGAGAAAATAATTTCTTACCCGGTTACTCGATTAATCGATAGAATATTCGATAGATTAGTCCATTAATAAAATAATCGATACCTGCAGCCCTACAGCTGATGTTTAATCAGACAGTCACAGAAAGTGCTGGAACATGTCGGTGCAGTCCAAAAAACCATAATAAACCTTCAGAGCTGTGTGCAACAAAAACTTGACAACAGGAGTGGGAGTGGGTGCATATCTCTTAACCTGTTTGTCTGCAGTGGAAAGCATCATTATGTACCATGGGTTAAACTTACCGTGTGTGTGTCTCCATATCCAGGTTTCCTCTCTACTACGAGCTAAAGATAGCTTTTGTGGTCTGGCTGCTGTCCCCTTACACCAGAGGAGCAAGTCTTATTTACAGGAAGTGTCTGCATCCTTTGCTGTCCTCCAGAGAAAGGGTACATTCATTCGTACATCCACGTGTAATGCAGGTCACACTGCTTTGTTCCCAGTTCAACTGTGTTCTAAAATGTAATTGTTGTCTTCCTTTAGGAAATAGATGAGTACATTGTGCAGGCCAAAGAGAGAAGCTATGAGACCATGGTGAACTTTGGCAAGCAGGGCCTGAGCATTGCAGCCACCGCTGCGGTCACTGCAGCCGTCAAGGCAAGTTATTCTTTTTTTTATTTTTCACGTGAGTGCACTACAGTTTTATGTTAGATAGCACGGCTAAGTCAGTTTTCATCTTCTTTCTCACTACTTTGCTACAGAGTAGGGCTGTGCGATATGTCCAGAATCCCATATCCCGATATAAAACATCTATCGTCCGATAACGATGTAAATCACAAAAATGTAACATTTTCTGTAAAGTCTGTGAATCTCGGGCAGCTCGACTTGCGTGAAGTGTTTCC